TCTCGGGGGCCTGTGGGAAGCCGCGCCGGCCGGAGCATTAACGGGGTTCATGGAGGACCTGGTGGTGGAGGGGTCCCTGGCCTCTGTGTGTGGAGGGGGGTGAGAGGGATTGCTCATGGAGGACCTGGGGGTGGAGGGGTCCCTGGCCTCTGTGTGTGGAGGGGGGTGACGGGAGGGGTCACGGGATGGTTCCCTGTTCGGTTCCCTCCCTCGGGGGCACTGGCCCTGGCCCTGTGGGCTGGCAGGACCCCGGCCTGGCTGGGCCCTTGCTCTGACCCCGTCTGGCCGCTCTGCTGTTCTGTCTTTCCCATCCATGTGCGGAATAAGTGTGATGTGCGCTGAGGCGCGTGTGGCCGTGCACCACCAGTCGAAACAGCCCTATGTGGGTGCTCTGCCAGTCGTCTGGCTGGCCGCCCGAGCGCCTGGCTCACGGAGCTCCACTGCCAGGGCGCTGGCCTATGAAATCATGGGAAGGTGGGTGGGCAAAGCCCCTCCCCAGCCTTACGGGAGGGACACTGAACCCATGTTCAACTGAATCCGGGGGACAAAAAATGATGAGGGGCAAGGAGTGCGGGTCGCAGGTTTAAAGTAAGGGAGCCGGATGGGGACACCGAGCAGAGAGCCCCGGCCAGCGCCCACTGCTCCTCAAAGCCGGCGATGGAGCCAGCGGGGGATTCGTGCGTGCTGGCGGCCATGGCCCTAGCCGGCTGCTGTCAGGGATCTGTAGGGCTTCTGGGTGGCCTGGCGCCAGCACCAGTTCCTGTGCTGCCTTGGCTGGCTGCTCGCCCAGTCTCCGCAGGGCACCCAGCTGCCCCCCACTGAGCCAGGCTCCTTTGCCCGTCCCTGGGCCCGCCCGCTATGTGCGTGCCCCTTGGATTCTGGCAAGCTTGTTCTCTGAGCTCTCAGCCCGTGGCCAAAGCCCCGCCTGGGCGCTGGCGCCGGGGGAGCCCAGTCACCCCTCATCTCAGCCTTGTCCTCCTTGCTTCCAGAAGCACCTCGGAAGGGAGGGCAGCTGGTGTCTGCTGGGGCTGGGCCGTGGGGCCAGGGGCCCGCCCGCTATGTGCGTGCCCCTTGGATTCTGGCAAGCTTGTTCTCTGAGCTCTCAGCCCGTGGCCAAAGCCCCGCCTGGGCGCTGGCGCCGGGGGAGCCCAGTCACCCCTCATCTCAGCCTTGTCCTCCTTGCTTCCAGAAGCACCTCGGAAGGGAGGGCAGCTGGTGTCTGCTGGGGCTGGGCCGTGGGGCCAGGGGCAGCG